CTACTGCTGCTGCTCGCTGCTGTTGCTGCTGCTGCTCCAGCTGCTGCTACTGCTGCTGCTGCTCCTGCTACTACTGCTGCTGCTACTACTGCTGCTGCTACTACTGCTGCTCCTGCTTCTGCTCCTGCTGCTACTGCTGCTGCTCCTGCTGCTGCTCCTGCTGCGGCTACTCCTGCTCCTATTGCTGCTGCTCCTGCTGCTCCTGCTGCTACTACTACTGTTGCTGCTCCTGCTGCTACTGCTGCTGCTCCTGCTAATCCTGCTGCTACTGCTGCTACTGTTGCTGCTACTCCTGCTGCTACTGCTGCTACTGCTGCTATTGCTCCTGCTGCTGCTACTGCTGCTCGTGGCCTCTCAGCATCTACTCCAATCTGCTGGTAGCGCTAATGTTTGTGTCACTATCAATGACCACTAACTCCAATCTGCCCAGCAGTACTTCACGTATGTTTGTATATGTTGAACTTCTTTCGCATCGTACATAGCCAACCGCGCTATTATCACAACCGCACCACCACGACAACCACCACGACCAATACTATCGCCACCTACCACAACTGCAATTTCACCACCACCGCTACTACCACCGCTACCACCACCAAAAAAAATAAAGATCCCCCGTATAGCCTTAACAGACTGTCGGGGCAAGTGCTGTTAGCGAGCACCTATAAAGGCTGGCACGGCACACGAGAGGGTGGGTGGCCAACACCGCGCCCAGCCGCCTTTGTCTCCCCAGTGGCGATGTTTACACACCGCACCAGGTACTCATTTGAGGCTGAGTCGACCTAGGGGAGGCCCAGGACCGGTTCAGATAATCGTCACTGGGCGTTGGCCGTGAGCGGGAATCGAATCCGGGTCGCCAGGTTCGTAGCGCTAACCGCTGCACCCACCGCTCCCCATACCACCACCGCCCACACTCCCACCAGCACGACACACACCAGCACGACACCCACCAGCACGACACACACCAGCACGACACCCACCAGCACGACACCCACCAGCACGACACACACCAGCACGACACCCACCAGCACGACACACACCAGCACGACACACACCAGCACGACACACACCAGCACGACACCCACCAGCACGACACACACCAGCACGACACACACCAGCACGACACACACCAGCACGACACACACCAGCACGACACCCACCAGCACGACACACACCAGCACGACACACACCAGCACGACACGACACACACCAGCACGACACACACCAGCACGACACACACCAGCACGACACACACCAGCACGACACACACCAGCACGACACACACCAGCACGACACACACCAGCACGACACACACCAGCACGACACACACCAGCACGACACACACCAGCACGACACACACCAGCACGACACACATACGCGGTCGCGTGAGAGGTCACGGGCCCGACCTTTATCCGCCTCTGCCATGAATAATAGATCAAGCCGCGCGAAGCTGGTCGCAAATAAATTAAATACGCACGGCGCCCTAGTGTCACAAAGTCAACAAAGACGCGTCCGGGGATGGGGGGGGGGGTCCCCCCCCCACAAAGCAGCCCTCTCGGAGCCCTGCCGTGATTCATTTTAATTGTTGCTTCGCCTCCACCCTACCCCCCCGAACCTCCCCACCGCCTCTCGCACGCACGGACGTGAGCAGCGTCGCGTTGTCACCAAATTTACAATTTCACCTTCGGAGTTCACTCCCAGCGAGCGGCGCGTACAGGGGGTGGAGTGGTGGGGGGTGGTGTGGTGGGGGGTGGTGTGGTGGGGGGTGGAGTGGTGCGGGGTGGTGTGGTGGGGGGTGGAGTGGTGGGGGGTGGTGTGGTGGGGGGTGGTGGTGGTGGGGGGTGGTGTGGTGGGGGGTGGTGTGGTGGGGGGTGGGGTGGTGGGGGGTGGTGTGGTGGGGGGTGGTGTGGTGGGGGGTGGTGTGGTGGGGGGTGGTGGGGTGGGGGGTGGTGAGGTGGGGGGTGGTGTGGTGGGGGGTGGTGAGGTGGGGGGTGGTGTGGTGGGGGGTGGTGTGGTGGGGGGTGGTGTGGTGGGGGGTGGTGAGGTGGGGGGTGGTGAGGTGGGGGGTGGTGTGGTGGGGGGTGGTGTGGTGGGGGGTGGTGTGGTGGGGGGTGGTGTGGTGGGGGGTGGTGTGGTGGGGGGTGGTGTGGTGGGGGGTGGTGTGGTGGCCACCTTCGCTTCAGAGAGGCGCCCCACACGACAGAGGGGGCGGAAGATGATGTCATGGAGCTACTTCTGAAGTCACTTCAATCGCGGCCCTCTCTCTCTCTCTCTCGCTCTCTGGCGCTGCGCATCTGCGCGCGTGCCCCGTGCTACGTCGCGTTCCACAGAGAGACGAGGCCAAAGCATGGGGTCGGCAAGTGCACCGCGTAGCCGCGATAGCTAAGAGATGTTAACCACCTCGCTAGGTATACAGGAGGTCGTGTGTTCGATCCCGACCCTGACGCCTGCTGCTGTATGTTTGGAGTTTGCGTGTCTCTCTCTCATCATCATCACGGTGGCTAGGAGATGTTAACCACCTCGCCCGGTATACAGGAGGCCTTGTGTTCGATTCCGACCCTGACACCTGCTGTATGTTTGGAGTTTGCATGTCTCTCTCATCATCATCACGGTGGCTAGGAGATGTTAACCACCTCGCCCGGTATACAGGAGGCCGTGTGTTAGATCCCGACCCTGACGCCTGCTGCTGCTGTATATTTGGCGCGTCTCTCTCTCCGTGGCCACGTGGATTTTTCTCCGGGTCCTCCGGTTTCCCCCTCCACATTTAGAATCAACATCACACGTTGAGTATTTGGCCGCTTTAAATGCCCACGTGACGAGAAGCCACCTCGTTGAGCTGTCATTTGTGGCCAGGTCGCTGTGGAAAAAGAGCCACACAGCTCAGCGGGCCTTACCTGGTAAAATAAACATAGTTGATAGTTTTAGTTTGATATTTATTTATATGTATCTCGATCAACGAAGACTCAAGACTCTGAGTGGATAACGTCCAAGGCCAAGATGTACGAGTCCAATATAATAATATAAGACGGTAGAGATTGCGTTTATAATAATTATAATATAATAATATAAGACGGTAGAGATTGCGTTTATAATAATTATAATAATATAAGACGGTAGAGATTGCGTATATAATAATTATAATATAATAATATAAGACGGTAGAGATTGCGTTTATAATAATTATAATAATATAAGACGGTAGAGATTGCGTTTATAATAATTATAATAATATAAGACGGTAGAGATTGCGTATATAATAATTATAATATAATAATATAAGACGGTAGAGATTGCGTTTATAATAATTATAATAATATAAGACGGTAGAGATTGCGTTTATAATAATTATAATAATATAAGACGGTAGAGATTGCGTATATAATAATTATAATATAATAATATAAGACGGTAGAGATTGCGTTTATAATTATAATAATATAAGACGGTAGAGATTGCGTATATAATAATTATAATATAAGACGGTAGAGATTGCGTTTATAATAATTATAATATAATAATATAAGACGGTAGAGATTGCGTTTATAATAATTATAATATAATAATATGACGGTATATATTGCGTATATAATAATTATAATATGACGGTATATATTGCGTTGATAATAATTATAATATAATTATATGACGGTAGAAAAAATATGTTTATAATATAATAATAATAATACGGTATATATTGCGTTTATAATAGTAATTATAAAAATAAGACGATATATATTATGTATTCCCACGGAAAAGCCTGCGTTGAGACGTTGGGCCAACACCGATTTCCTCGATTGTTTTTCACTATGGGATGCCGAATAGCGGTCGGGGTGGGGGGCATACAAACTCCACGGAGAATGCTACCCGAGTCAGGAGTCGAACCCAGGCCCTTCTTGCTGCAAAACACAAGTGTCAACCCCATGAATAGTGAATAATACCTTAGAAGAGCCACTGCCCGAAAAGTCACCTTTTTGCATACTTTTCCATCCCCTCTCATGGCCACGTGCAGTGCTGTCAGTATTGACGAATGTGCTGGGATTTTGTATTTCGTTGGCTGTTGCAGCAGCAGCAGCAGCATCACCGAATAATTCGGCCAGGGAAGAGAGACCTACCGGACATGTGTGGGGAGGGAAAAAAAAAGATCTTCATTAGCTCATCGGATCCCTCCCGTATAAAGAAATTGATTCTGATTGTGGGACGCGCCGCACGGAAACACGTTCGGCTCCGTCTCCGCCGACAGGAAAACCGATCAAGCGTGGCGGCGATGACCACGACCCCCCTCACCCCTCCTCGGGGGACCGAGCGGGGCGGGAGGGGGGGCTCGGCGCGTCAGCTCGTGACGAGACAAACACCGACCGTGTGCCGGAAGCCGTCGGAACAAAACGAAAAAATTGGTCAAAGTTCGTTGTCTGTCTTGCGTCGGGTGGATGGATGGGGGTCGCGGAGTTGTCACGACGCACGCGTTACTCGGGCGTCCGTCACCCGACCCACACATCTGTCGAAGAAGGGCTTGGATGTGCGCGTGTGATGCATGGACGTATGCACGTCTGGGGAGGCCCAGGACCGGTTTAGATAATCATCACTAGTGTGTTGGCCGTGAGCTGCACTAGTGCTGGCCGTGAGCTGGAATCGAACTGGGGTCGCCGGGTTCATAGCGCAGAGCGCTTTAACTGCTGCGCCACTGCTGGGATAATCCTTTGAGGACCAGGAACGAGAGTCGGTCGAGATCAGTCACAGGGGTCTTCCAAAACGACGCCATCGACGTCACTGATGCCACCGTCATCACCGACGTCATCACCATCATCGCCGTCGTCAACACCCATTGATGTCGCTCGCGCCACGTGTCGCGGACGTTGTTGACGCTGTTCTGTCGTCGTTGATGTTCGTGGCGATCGACGACGCCGCTATCGTCATCGATGACACATCAGTTGCGCCCCCCCCCCCCCCCGTGTGTACATCACCCCCTGGGCTACCCCCCCCCCCGCCGCTCCCTCCCTCAGTTCATGACCAAGCACCCTGGCAAGCGGCTGGGCTGCGGGGCGGACGGCGAGCGGGACGTGCGCGAGCACGTCTTCTTCCGCCGCATCGACTGGGATCGCCTGCAGAGGCGCGAGGTGCAGCCTCCGTTCCGGCCCAAGGCGGTGCGATGCTGCTCACCTTCCGCGCACACACGCGCACACCTGTACACCGCACGCACACGCCTGCACACCGCACGCACACGCCTGTACGCGCGCATACAAAATACCATATAGCCTGCGACAGGCGAGTGCTGTTAGCGAGCACCTATGAAGGCCGGAACGGCACACGGGGGAGTGGGGTGGCCAGCACCACGCCCGGCCGCCTTTGTCTCCCCCAGTGGCGATGTTTACTACACACCGCAGCAGGTACACACTTGAGGCTGAGTCGACCTAGGGGGCGGCCCAGGACCGATTCAGATAATCGTCACCGGCGTTGGCCGCGAGCGGGAATTGAACTCGGATCACCGGACTTTTTAGCGCAGTGCGCTAACCACTACACTACCGCTTCCCACGCACGCATGCATGCAGGGACCTGTATACACGCATGCCCACCTGTACATACACAAACAGCAACACCTGTACACACGCACCACCTGTACACGCAAACAGCAACACCTGTACATAAGCACGTACATGTTCCTATACACACACACGCCTGTATGCACGCACACCTGTGTATATATTATAATAGCACGGTTCGCTATGTAAAGCGTGAAAGAAGTTCAACATACATATTAATGAACTGTGATTTCTTGCTGAAATTGGCACTCAGTTGGTACCCAATTTCTGTTTACAGCCCTGAGCCAATGATGGAGACTCCACTTATCTATGGCGAGGACGAGTATATCCAGAGGGGTACCGATATTGATTTCTAAAAAGAAAAAGATGCCATTAACCTGCGCGTGTCCTCTAAACCACGTGCTCCTCTTTGCGTCTCTCAGGGTAATCCCAAGCGTGCGTCTCTCCCACTTCCCTTACGATGGTTGTAATGCCCGTGTCTCTCTCGCCGTGTCTCTCCCCGTGTCTCTACCCACGTGTCTCCCCGCCTCTCCCCATGTCTCTCTGTCACTCCCCCGTGTCTCTCCCTTTCACTCCCCGTGTCTCCACCCACGTGTCTCCCCGCCTCTCCCCATGTCTCTCTGTCACCCCCCCCCGTGTCTCTCCCCTCGTCTCTTTGTGTCTCCCTCTCTCCGTGTCTCCGTGTCCTCCGTTGTTCCAGGCCGGGAGGAACGCGGAGAACTTCGACAAGTACTTCACCAAGACGGCGCCCATGCTCACCCCGCCGGACGACACGGTCATCTCCACGATCGACCAGGCCGACTTCCAGGACTTCTCCTGTCTCAACTCCAACTTCGTCTACCAGCCCTGCGCCTGACCCCTCTAGGCCTTCTGCATCGTCCGTCCGTCCTTCCACCCACCTACCCACCCCTTTCACCCATTCATTCACGTGTTCATTCCCTCGTCCGTCGATTCATCCATCAAATTATCCTTCAAGTATGTCCATTTAGTCATTCTTCTATCTATCCATCAGCGGATTCATTCATTCCTCGCGTAATATCGTCTACACCATCCAGTCATTCATTCATGTATTCATTCACCCATCCATTGATCTCCCCACCCCTAGACTAGCCATCCATCCATCCATTCTTCACTCGAGCATGTTCCAATCCACCCATAACTGTAAAAAAAATATGTTTTTTTTACATTTATATGGCGTTTCTCAAATGCCTCGGCAACTCAAAGCGCCTTACGTCGCATCTCATCGATTCGAAGGGCACCCCCAATGGCAGCTGTCCCTGCGTGGCACAAGACGACGACTCAGCAGCGGCCTGCAAAAGACCCGCCCCTCCCCCCCCCTTCGAATGCCCAATCCTTGACACCTTTTTAGGCCATGCACCCCACCCCCCACCCCTCTGCCTGGGAGCCCTGTGGAAGATGCATCCCAAAATACGAGCAGCTCTTAGTCTTGCAGCTGCCCCATTTTTTTTTTAAATGATTTGTCGGGCAGGGGACCTCTGCAGTCTAGCGACGTCACCGCACAGCACGCAAACATTCCATGGTGCATCGCGACCCGGGGGGAAGGGAGGGAGGAGGCTCGGGGGAGCGGGGGTAGTGGTGGGTGGGTTGGTGGTGGTGGTGGGGGGGAGGGGGAGGCACGATCAGATCGGAAGAGTCGACTCGTTTCCCCGCCCTCGTTTGTTTATTATTCGCTCGGTCTTTGTCTGCGCCGCCCGTTGCCCTAAAATTGTCCCCCACCCTTTGGAGACGCCTGCGCGTGCGACCTCAATATCGTTTGCATAAACCCGCACGCCGCGGACCGCGGCGATGGTGGCAAGCGCGCGAGCGTAACGGCGAAGAATCGACGTCGGAAACTCGAGGGAGTGGAGTTACATTTGACCTCAGGCAAGCTCTTTGGGCTGGGAAAATACTTTGAGGACCAGCAACGAGAGTCGGTCCAGATCGGCCACGGGGGGGGGTGGGGGCGGGGGGGAGAGGTTTTCCAAAAAAGTCGACATCACTGATGCCACCGTCATCACTGACGTCATCGCCAACGTTCATCGATGACGCTCGTCCACGTGCATAACACGTGGACGTCCTCCCCCCTCCCCACCAGTCGCTGTGCCGGCGGCTCTAGCGGTCTTCTCGAAAGGTGAATTTAAAGTCTTCGTTGTTGTTACTTTTACATTGAATGAGTCTCAAACTCGCGTGGGACAGAATAGGTGGGGCGGTCACGCGACACAACACGCCGTTCGGTTTCTGGGCCAGGCTTGGGGTCAATTATAAGGACCGCCACGGTGACGAGATGTTAACTACCTCGCCTGGTATGCAGGAGGTCGTGGGTTTGATCCCGTCCCTGACGCCTGCTGCTGTATATTTGGAGTTTGCGGTGTCTGTCTCCACGTGGTTGCGTGGATTTTTCTCCGGGTCCTCCGGTGTTTAACCCTCCACATTTAGAATCAACGTCACGCGTTTAAGAGTCTTTGGCTGCTATAAATCTCAACGTGAGAAGCCACTTTGGTTGAGCTATCAGTTGTGGCCAGGTCGCTTCTGAAAAAGAGCTACGCAGCTCAGTGGGCCTTACCTGGTAAAATAAAAAATAGTTTAGTTTATAACTGAAAATGCTTAATTGCAATATGATTAAGATTTATTTTTATCTAACGGCCGGGTCCACGCACGAGTGATGATAAGTTGCATGCAACTGAATCGCTTCTACGCGGACGTCCTTGTTGCAGCCGGGTTCGTGAGTTGTTTGCACAACCGGTTGCTCAGAGTAGAGGAGACCAGAACTCCTCGACTTTCGAGCGTCGATCTGCTCGGCGGTTTTGCAGCAGAGGCGTTTTTCTGTGCCGCGTGACAACGTTCGCGGGCTGCGATTGGTTGTTGCGATGCTGCACAACCGCTCGCTCAGATGCGGGCGACGATCGAGTTGCGCGGAGTGGAGAGCGATTTGGTTGCTCGGGTGCGGGTGGACCTGGCATCAAGGTACCGTGAGTGGACTGATAATCGACCCCAGGTTTCAGTGTTTGGGCTCAGAATATCCTCTTAACTGCCAGGACGAGAGTAGGTGGAGATCAAGTGATGGGGATCAAATAAGATTTTCAACGACGTCGTCGTCATGATCATAATCGACGTTCCTCGGTACCGCTTCGTCGATTTGTTGATGTTGATGTCGGAATTGAAGATGTTTGAAGGAAGCAAAACTTAAAAAAGAGTTAAATAAAGACAAGGTTACAGCAAAAAAGACGAAGTTCAACAACAGTTAATTAGGCATGTGACGACGCAGCGATTGAACGATTATCATCGATTTTTAATCGATTCTCACGCTGGCGCGATACACTCAAAATTTCCCGCAACACTGCTGTACACGCCGGCTTTGAGTAATGGGAATTATCGGCGTAAGGCACTACCACTAGAGTAAAAGGCACACCTCTCCGTAATCATCCTTTATTATTATTGCACTCTGTAATAATACTCTCATGTTGTGAAGGGGTTTAGTTTAAAAAAAAAATAACCGAACCATGCAACTTCGATGCATGCATGGACTGACTCACCTACCTGCCGTGGTGGAGTACAGATCAAGGCGAGATGGATGTGACTGGGTTCCAAAAGAGTTTCCTGGCTCCGCGGTCCAGGATTGTTCCGGAGTGTTCCGGATTGTCGCGTGATGTTTCGGGATCGCTCCGCGATGATCCGGAACGTTCGGGACGAAACGAAATCCGTGGGTAAGGTAGGCCCGGAATTTTGTTCGCCCCAATATATCTGGACCGATGTGAAGAGACAGTCACCCACATTCCGCGACTCGGGGCCCCATCAGACCGACCATACTTCAGCACGCTGGTCAGCGTGCGAGAATCGATTGATTGGTATGTTCTTGTGTGTGTGTATATGTGTGTGTGTTTTGTTTTTTAAACAGTTGCTGAGCGGCCAGTAACAAACAGCACTACGAACGTTGCGACCGACGAGCATCGAACCCGTTTTGATGCGCGTTCCCAACCCGGAAGGAACGAATGAACGAGCGCGCGGAATGAATCCGTATCGTGAACACAGCCTCGCACGAGCAGCGCCCCGACCACAGTTCGACTCCCACTCCAGGTCGACCTTCTCGTTACCTGGTCCGGTCTCGATTTTACCGCGGCCTTTTTTGTTTGTTTTAAGACCAATTACGCCAGGAAACGGGAGAGTGGTGTGGACACGTGGGCGCGTGCGTCATGAAAACGTAAACTTTGCACAAAGAACGCACGCTTTAAAGTGTCGTAAAGATTCCAACGGAGACGACGCTCAGAAACCGGTTAGTCCGTCGCGCGACGATCCGAAACCGGTTAGTCCGTCGCGCGACGCGAGGTGACGGGAGAGAGCGGGGCGGGGGGGGGGGTGGTCTTAGGTTTGTTTCTAGAGACACATCCTGTTATCCGCGATACTTGGCGATGAAGCGAGATGTGGTGCTAAATTCTTTCCGCCAAATGCATGACCACCATCCAGCAGACGCTCCAACGGTAGTGGCGAATCAAACCCCCCCTCCCCCCTGGTTTAGCATAATCGATTACTGCGCTTTTGATGTACTGCTGGATGGGGGCGGGGGGGGGGGGGTTAATTGACCATACTTCACCGCGCCGGTCAGAGTGTGAGAATCGACAATTTACTTTCGCTTGTATGCAAATGATGTGCCGCTGAGACTTGACGGCTGATGGAGCGGGTTGCGAGTTGGGGTGGGTGGAGGAAGAGGAGGGGCGAGTGCGAAACACAAATCGAGACGGGCCAATTGGTGATGAGACAGAAAGACAAAAACACGGATTCTCGAATCCAAGTGGGATCCTGGATCTTGACAATGTATCGCTAAACCGCTCGAGCCGGTGGTGCTGAATTGTTACGTGTGTACTGACGAGACGAATATAATCGATTTTTTTTATTTTGTTTTGTTACTGTTATCGAATCGGACGGTTGGTTTATCGAATCGCGAGAGGCTCGGAAAACTCTGGTCCCTATCTGGCCTTGGGATCCGACGCTCCAGGTTCAGGAAGTCTACGTAACTCCACGCCGGGTTTTTGTTCGTTGCTGCAGCGGTCAGGAGGATTCGCTGAACGATTGGAACGCGGAGGATGCGAGTAGATGGCGAGAATGATTGCTGTTAATGATTTGGAGCTTTCGTGACTGCAGGAATTACTGTGATGATTTAGTAGTATTTTATTATGATAACGATGGTGATCCTGATGATGATCAAGATGAAGGTGGTATTGTGATGATGATCATGATGAAAACAATTGGATACGATATAATGATGACACTGAGGTTTGGTCAAGTGATAATTAAGGGGGGGGGGGGGTTAATGATGAGGACGTCACATGACTAAGACAGAGGATGGCGATGATGCAGAGGGCGGTGGTAATGATGATGGTGGTGATGAAAAGGGTAGTGGTGAAGATGATGATAATGATGAAGGGAGTGGTGGTAATTATGACGGTGGTGATGATGAAGAAGGTGGTAGTAATGATGATAATCATGGTGGTGATGATGAAGTGGTGATGAAAATGGTGTAACCGTGCCGGGCCTCGCATGAGACCAGTTTCCCTGGAGAGCTACGGATGGGATTCTGTGGACTCCCCCTGCAAAATAATTTCGGAATTTTAAGAAATGTTTCCGATCGTATTTTGGATCCCCCCCCCCCTCCCCATCATTCACAACTTTTCTTCGTGCTCACGGAAGTGACGTCGCCATCGCCACGTGACACCACTTTTGACCTCGTGCACGTAACGTCATTTATTGTGACGTCACACGTTCGGATCAATCCGAAATTGTAACCCCCCCGCCCCCCTCCTCCACCCCTCAATGTTTTTCGATCCCATCAACAATTTTGTAGCGATCTAGGCCCGACTTTAGCATTTTTTTTTCCCGGACCGCTAGCAACTCCGAAGATCGGGAGACAGACAACGCTCGAGTTGTGTTATGCATGCATGTGTATGTATGTATCCTGTGTGTGTGTGTACGTAACAGTACACGTGCCGATGAAACCATATGTGGTCACTCGCAGTCCCCCCCCCCTCCCCGATCTGTAGACACGCCACGTCCGCTGCCACGCCAGTCGAGTCTCAAAAAAACAAAATGGTCGACTGGCTGCGTCGCTATTCTTACGAGCAGGGGCAATGTTTGTTTCACTCGTTGCGTCGGTACCGTTTCGTTTGCTTGTTTCCTGCTTTGCCGGTCTGTTCGCCCGTCTGTCTGCGTGCCTGTCCGGCCTTAGAGTAATGTCTACAGAAAACGTGTCGTCGACACTGCGTCTCGTCTTGTCTACGTGTGCATGCAATAATAGACACGGTCCCTGTACAATGCACCCCCGTTTGACGCTTTGATATATGGCGGAATTGGTGTTGACGTTTCCACCAAAGCTTTGTCTTAGTTAGTTCCTCGCCCGAATACCCAGTTCTACTCCTAACCCCATCATCACCTCTACCCTTAGCCTCTAACTCGAGCCACTAATCCCAGCTCCTTTCTAGCTCCTAGACCTGCCCTTAGAATTAGCGCCAACCCGAGCTCCCGAACCCCTAACCCTCCCGCTTCTTAGCTACTATACCGTGCCCGAGCCCCTAACCCCATTACCT